TCGAAACAAGCGACTTTAGGGCATATGTGTATTAAGACTTTTTGACTTAGAATGACACATAGAATACACAGTTTCAGTGTGGACATCAACGTTGCGGGACACCCTGTATATAAAGGTATTAACATAACATAATCAAAAAGTAAGTATTTTATAAGATATTTCATGATGTGTTTATGTAAAATTATGTCACATTAAAGTACATATAAAAGGTAAAACTGCATAAAAGATAACACATCACCGATTTTATTGCTACTTAAATATGTTGTAGGGGAGGTTCTTCTGAGTAATATCTTGCAAGAAATTTGTGGAGGACGGCATTAGTTTAAAAAATATAACAAATTGAAGTTTGATATTAAAATATGTATACGCTGTTTAATTTGTTATTTTTTCATTGAAAAATACTGTTTATGACCTTCTAAGTTGTCAACAATCGGGTTAGGTTATATCTTCCGGAAATGGAACCCCCCGTAGGAGGGGCGGAACTCACTGCGTCCACGCGTACACTTTCCCATCAATACAACAATTGTGGGGTGGATCTCGCCTGGCGTTGTAAAGTATATGCATGGACACAGTAGGTTTCGCCCTCCCTACGGAAGATTTCCACTTCCGGAAGATGTAACCTAACCCAAACTTATTTTCAGTTTTAAAAATAAAGTTGGGTTGGGTTAAGTTAGATTTCTTTGGGGTTGGGGCGCAGGAGGAGGGGTTGAGCTTCTCCCCCGCCCACGAATTCAATGAATAATATTTTTCGTCGGAATAAGAAGAAATGAGGAAAAATAATGGTAAAATTTTAAAAATTGAAAATAGGTTTGGGTTAGGTTACATCTTCCGGAAGTGGAAATCTTCCGTAGGGAGGGCGAAACCTACTGTGTCCATGCATATACTTTACAACGCCAGGCGAGATCCACCCCACAATTGTTGTATTGATGGGAAAGTGTACGCGTGGACGCAGTGAGTTCCGCCCCTCCTACGGGGGGTTCCATTTCCGGAAGATATAACCTAACCCGATTGTTGACAACTTAGAAGGTCATAAACAGTATTTTTCAATGAAAAAATAACAAATTAAACAGCGTATACATATTTTAATATCAAACTTCAATTTGTTATATCTTTTAAACTAATGCCGTCCCCTACAAATTTCTTGCGAGGAATTACTCAGGAGAACCTTCCTTACAACATATTTAAGTGGCGATAAAATCGGAGGTGTGTTCCTTTTTATGCAGTTTTACCGATTACTATTATAATATCTCACAACTGTAATAAAAAGAATAATATTCTACCTCATATATTTTTTACATTAATTTTGTAAAAAGTAGATTTTTATATAGTTTTTGTATATAGATTTTGATGTTTGTATTAATTTTGTTTTTTATATTATTTTTTATTAGTTTTATAACTATAGAATTATATATTTTGTTTCTCATATTAATTACGCGTCTTTAATCCCATTTTTTACAGAAATGTTTTTATGAATATATTTTTATTTTTTTATTATACAGGGTGTTAACAAAAAACCATTCAATATTTATATGGTAGATAGGACACACCATACTGAGTAAAAAAACCTTAGTTAACATAAGTCGAAAGCTCAACCGTTTCTAAAATATAAACATTTTTGTATGTTAATATCATGATTGACTTACTGACTTTTACGTGTCGCATACGACGTGAGAAGAAGATAATCTGTCTAAATCTTTATCTCGATATTTACAAGAGGTGTTCCACATGTCCTCCTTTCATTTCCATACATGCTTGGCATTTTATATTTGTGTTTTTATATTGTAACTGTGTACTGTGTAATCACTAAATCCGCAATCAAATTTGGTTCATGACAACTGACTGATCGCCGGTGAAATCTTCTGTTATGAAATATGTATGGAAATTGAATAAGGATATTCAGAACGCGGTTTATAAACATTGAGGTAAACATCGCATGCGACACGTAGAAGCCAGTAAGTCAATCATGATGCTAACATACAAAAATGTTTATATCTCAGAAACGGTTGAGCTTTCAACCTATGTTTACTAAGGTGTTTTTACTCAGCATAGTGTGTCCTATCTACCATATAAATATTGAATGTTTTTTTTAACATCCTGTATATTCTATCATATACTATATGTAACATATAATAAACAAGTTAATAAGTAGATCGCATTAAAGAAATTAATAAAAAATGTTTTTCGATGGAGGTAATCATTTAACGTTAAAATTCTGAGATATATATTTTCTCTAACAATAACTACTATTATGTAACATGAAAAATGCAAAAAAAAACATCTAAAGCAACAACAGATGTTACCGTGATTACAAGTACACGTAAGTACTAGCACGATAAATTCGATGAAACAGATAATCCTATGCAAGCTCTCCGGGACACTGAAATATTCCAACGCGCATCTTGATGGCATCGGATATTCTAGCATAACGTCTTCGTCCGTTATGTTCATCTGGTTATCTTTGTCATCGCCCAGGAGAGGAATTAGCGAATATATCGTCACGCTAAAGTAAGAGAAGCACACCATGAAACAGGAGAGAATTCTCCCAATGAAGGCGTGTTTTCGCATGATGGCACGATGCTCCGTGTTTTTAATTGTCAAATAATCATCCCTGGCTGAGCCGTAATTGTTAGTTAAATTTTCCGCATAAATGCGAAAACATATTGTCTTTAGCACTCCTAGTACACCGCAGAAGATCAACATGATGCTATCAATGTTCTGCTCCGCATCGGTGCAACCCATGTGAATTTCCATGGTAGGTAAGATTACTATTATGCTCTGTTGATATGTGTAAACGATATATTTTCTCAATCAAATAGCCTTTTCGTGTCTAAAAAAATGTGTCCCAATTCCAAATCTCTTTCTCTCACCAAACTTTCGCAAATATTAATATTTAATTATAAATAATGATCTTTTTTTAAATCCTGGTAATGTTTCTATATATTAACCATCTACTTCTACTATAATGTAGAAAAAAGTATTAGGTTTAGTTAGAAACTAATTAAAAAATTAGATAATTACATGTCTTAAGATTTAATTACTTATAATTTGAATGTTAATATAAATAAAAATATAAAGCTGTTTTTAATATAGTAAATAAATAAAATTATAGATATCCTAAATTTTTTTACATCAAAATATAAGATTAAATTAAAAAATTAGAGAATTAAACTTTAAGAATTAGATTTTAAGAATCATATAATTTATTAAGAAATTGATATTAATAAAAATTTGTGTATTGTTTCGTATTTTTTATTTAGTTTGTCCCTTGTATGATATATTATCAAAACAATGTCATATTAGTACGACATGAAACACGAATGAAAGAATTATGAAGTAAACAATATATGTATATATCACATGCTAATAAGCTATCATAAATAAGCCTTAGAAGAAACATTTCTGGTAATCAATTCCCAACAGCTTATGTCTATGTCCATTTACAACTCCGTTCGACGCGTTGTCATCCTTAGGGAAAAAGCTTTTCACGACGTGAATGACGAAATGCTTTTGATCCAGAAATTTGAACATTTGACATTTTCATCGCGAGAAGAAAATTTTATTTGAAGCATTATAATGACATCAATGCGTAAAAGTTGCTATCTATACCCTCAAACACGATCACACGCGACGAAAATCGTTGGGATCATATTCAAAAGATGTGTACCATGCAACAAGTGGCTAAGATGCATCGTATTAGCGAATAGATGTTATAAACTTGAAGCGGCCAGACGCCAATGGGCCAAGTTAACAATTTGAAAGGGGTCATTGCGTATGCGATATCGTCCTTCCATCGTTCGCTTGCCATCGGGTTGAGGTAATGACTGTAACTGAGGCCAATAACCAAAACACAGTATGTTCAATAGAATGAAGGTATTCCGACTCATTTTTTATTCAGCCTGACAATGAGACATATACCCGTTTATCAGCCTGCGCTTACGCTCTTAACGCATTACGACAAAATATAGAGTTATGCTTTTACGCAAAATTGTGTTGAATTGCTGACTAAGAATACACACGACTATGCTCTCTAAGTTGTCGTCCGTCGGGAAACTGTTCTTTTTTTATTGTGCGAAATGTTGGACAGAACTGTGCGTGTTTCGTTCATTATGTGTACGCGCCGATTATACATATTTTGCTTCATCTCGATTTCTTCCCACCTAAATAATATGAATTCAATCTGTTCAAAAGTGATAATATATATAGCATCATTTGCTTTTTTTATTCTACAGGCCACCAAATTTAACTAATAGAAAATTACGCGACATGTTATGGGTAAGTAATTCTACATGTCAGAATATGTCTAAATATAATAGTGCATTAGTAGTACAATAATTTCAATGAACATATTATTAATATTGCATAAGAAAAATTGATTTGGCACAAACAGATTACTGTGGGTAATAAGTTTATTAACGTGATATTTTAATAAACACTTTTTCATGCGTTTCTATTTTCAAAGTATTCTATTCTGTTATTTCAAACGTATCAAATATTTACAGTTTGCATAGATTCCTTTTATTCGCACCTTATATTTCATACTTCGAGCATTATACGAAGTACAGATAAATACGAAAAAGAGGTTTTTAAAATGCTTACATAAGTTGACAGGTTGACTACGATGAAATTTCCAGCCTGCAACGCGACTGGAGATTTTGTTTGCATAAGAATAAAGATCACATCTCTTTTTAATTTCTAAGGAAAACTGTACCAAACACTCTGATAAATAGAAATCCCTATATCTTCCATTTCAGATTTTAGATAATTCGATAAAACTATACAGCGTTAATTGTGTCATAAAAGCACTCAGAATCATTAAACTTTTTCCTATCATGACGGTGTCATTGACTTTTAATGCAAAGATTAACTGAAATCCTGAAATAAAGATTTGTCTGCTAAATGTAAATCTTCTTTTATGTGTGAATACTTAACTTATATATTTCGCTGAAAAATCATAGGTAACATAATATTCACCCATTATACATAATAATATGCTGATAAGGAATAATTCTATCAGCAAAACAAAACTGATCAGATCGGCAAGTTACCTGGCAAGCTTTATCAGGTAACAATGGCTTTGAATTAGTGCGTTGAAACGATCATAGATTCGCGGACTTGCAACATCAAAGTTGATGAATTGCATCCTCAGAATGTTTACTTGACCACAAACATGCAATGTAATGTTGAGAAATAATGCGTCGTTACCTTTGGGAAATGCATTGATACACAGAATTGTCTTATTGCATTCATAAACAAGATAATACTTATTATTACTATAGTAATTAAATTATTAAATTGTTAAATTATTTTAAAATTAAAAGATATGTATCACAAGATATAGCAAATAATATTGCTCTTATATACAGGGTATCAACAAAGTTATAACAAAAAATATTAAAATCTGGTGGTGTGAAATGCGGTGATCTCTCTTGGACGCAGAAAATAAACATTTAATTATATACTTTAGCGTGTTTATTAGGAACATTAAAAATATTCGCTTTTGTGAACATTACTTCTTCAGTTTACACAATTCTTTATGAAAAATAATCACCTGCACGTATGTATATTGTAATTAAGATTCTATAGATCTATGTTTGTATAATTTTTTTTTATTGTTTTTCATAGAACACACACTGGCGCGGTTTTGTCGTTAAAACCTGGAACACACTGTATATATATGTATAATCAATAAAAAAAGCATAATATTAATAAATTTAATAAATATCTTTATATATGTAGAATAATATATTATACTTTACAATAAAAAATTTTTTTTTCTAAGTGATACTGGATAAGACATGAAATACCCACAAAAAATTAAAAAAGAAATATTTTGATAAATATTACCCAAACTAGCAGTCGTCGTGTACATCATTGCAACAGTTTCGAAAAGACAGGTAAGTCTATACATGCTTCTTGGAAAATTAAAATATTCCAGAGTGCATCTTGATGGCATTGCGTACTTTAATATAGTATCTCCATTCGTTATGTTAATCCGATTATCTTGGTCATAAGTCAAAAAAGGAATTATCGCATATATTAGACTACTACAGTAAGAAAAGGTCATCATAAAACAGCAAAGAATTCTTCCTATAAAAGCATGTTTTCGCATAATGTCGCGCTCTTTTGTGTTGTCAATAGTCAGATAATCGTTCAGAGCAGAGTCATAATTGTCAATTAAATTATTTGCATAAATGCGGAACCATGTCGTCTTCAGCACACCGAGCAATCCACAAAAAATTATCGTCAGAGAGTCTATATTCTGCTCTACGTCAGTACAGGCCATGTATAGTTTCATGGAAGGTAAGATCACAGTTAGACTATGTTGATGCATTTTCTCATGTATGATTATTCATGCTAAAAAAAAAACTCACTTCTAACTCAATGAATGTTTACTAATGAATATTCTATTTAAATGCGAATGCTACTTTCTCATTCTCATGCTACTTCTCTCTCCTACTTTCGTTCAATTCCTATCAATTTTTTTCTCTCTTTTTCTTTCACTCTATAAAATACGATATAAAAAAAATATTTTTTTTTCTATACTGATTTATAAATGTAAAGCATTATACATGTAATCATATACTTCTATATTTGCTATTTGTATATTTATACATATATTTAATTTTATGTAATTCTTAAATATTAAAATAACGTAAAAATGTACGTTATTAAAAAAATATATGTATAACAAAACTTGTGTAAATAGAAAATTTATCTGCGTCAAAATATAACAGAAAATACAACGAAATTTAATATTAGATAAAGTTTATGTGACATTTTGTCACATATTATTTATTTTGTTTCATATACGATCGTTATGATGGAATCATGAAATAAGTAGTATAGTGTATGATTCCCATAATATTTCTCGAAAAGGATCGTATCATTTTTACACATGATTAAGAAAACACACATAAATCATAAAACTTAAAAAAGGAATTTTTCTTATTGTTAGAATTTTTCAACGACTTACAATCGTGCTGATTTATAACTCATCTAAAGTATTACAGCTGGCAAAAGCGTTTCACCATATGCGTTATCAAGAATTGAAAATGTAAAATCTTGGTATATTCATCGTTACGGCAAAGTTTTCTCTTCTCGTTGCAATAGAAAATATTCTTCATTGTCTTTGAACGATCGCGAATGTGTCAATGATCTTCGCGTTCCCAAAAATACTTACCGTGCAACAAGTGTCTACGACACAACGCAATAGCGAATAAATGTCATAAACTTGAAGTGGCTATACGCCGATAGGCCACGTAATCAATTTGAAAGGGATCATCGCGTATGCGATGTCGTCCTTCCACCGTTCGCTTGTCATTGTCGAGATAATGAGTCTAACTGATGCCAATAACCGATGATTTGCTCGCTATATCGACACAACGCGTTCCAACACATTTTTTATTCAACTTGAAAATATATATATACTTATTCACGAGGAGGATATTTGCTTATCAAATTGACTCTATTCTCCTAGAGTCAAATAACTGACCATATTTTTTATTTAACATGAAACATGTTTGTACATATGCTTATCATGTAATCCAGAGCGATGTTGAAATCTCGCTCCATGGATGCAGTGCCGATTGCCACGGAGAGACGAAATCCCCAGCACGTCTCCAGAGCGGTCCAAATCATAACGATTGAAAATTGGCGCCCGTAGCCGCTCAGCGATGAGTCTTGACTCGTCACCAGTATGAATGGAAGCGGTTTCTTTCCACTAAGGCATGCACAATGTTATCATCAATGCCAGAAGGCCGTCCAGAGCGGGGTTGATCCTCCATGTTGAAATCACCATTTCGAAATCTGCCAAACCACTTTTTGACTGTTCGGAGAGCAGGAGCGCGGTCTAAATAAACGGTTTGAATATTTTTTTGTGCAGTCCCAACACTCACGCCTTTCCGAAATTCATGTAACATTACATGCCGCAAATGCACCTTTTCGTTCTCCATTTTTAATGATTTCTCTTATGCACAAATGGACTTATCTGAACAATGTCTGACGCTAAATTGACATAAGACAACGTCATCTATTCGGTGTAAGCAACAATTACCACACGAAAACAATAGAACTCCGCCATGCAGTAACTTAATGCCATCTATGAAAATCGGGCACGAACTTATGCAATCATCCAATATATATACTTATTCACGAGGAGGATATTTGCTTATCAAATTGTCTCTATTCTCCTAGAGTCAAATAACTGACCATATTTTTTATTTAACATGAAACATGTTTGTACATATGCTTATCATGTAATCCAGAGCGATTTTGAAATCTCGCTCCATGGATGCAGTGCCGATTGCCACGGAGAGACGAAATCCCCAGCACGTCTCCAGAGCGGTCCAAATCATAACGATTGAAAATTGGCGCCCGTAGCCGCTCAGCGATGAGTCTTGACTCGTCACCAGTATGAATGGAAGCCTCCTCGAGTAGTCCATCCTAAACCACTACGCCTAAGCAGCCCCCTCTTCTGCTCCCAATTAATAATACGATCTTCCACCGTCACCACGTGGTGGATCTAGTGGACAGATTACCAGCACTTACGCTGGCATAGATGTACACCGCAGAGTGTGATTTTAGTGGAATTTAAAATACCATTTTAATAGACAAACAAATCATTTATTATAACGAAACAACAACTTAACAGATTTCTTACTCCTTATGTAACGCGCTAGATTATTAGGGCGCCATGTAAAACAAGATCCGCTATTGAGCGCGTCTCTATGGAGAACATAGAAGAATCAGAATAATAACAAGAAAAAGAGGGGACGTAAACGAAAAGAGATCAACAGTTGGATTAAATAAATAATTTAAAAGTGAATATTGTGTATTTAATTTGTTTCAATCGCGGCAAGTGTGCTACAAATGCAGAAGTGGGATCCTTCGAAATCTTGTACAAGGAATCTCGTCGAGAGTTACATTACGAATGCAGTAACCATTGTGCAAGACTCTACATAAATACGATAGACGTCGGTCTCACGGGACTGCGTAAGGAAAGCTTAATTAAGTTTAGAAATTGAAAGAAGATACGCATAGAAAAGACAGGTAGAACGGCTGAAAGATTCTCGCACTGTTGTGTGCGTGCGAGTGAAATATGTCTATGTATTGATCGTGTGTAAGAGAT